GGGGGGGGGGGGGGGGTTCTTTGGAAAGAATGTTGGTGTGGAGGAAGAGATTTTAATTGGATACGGGCTTGGTTGTATATGTATATTTCACCTGTTTACCTACATATGGTATAAATTTAAAATGTAGTCATAGTAATAGTAATAATAAAGGCTTATTTCATTTTCTATATAAATTTACATTATTTGAGCTAGGGTATGAATGAGAAAAAATGCACCGGCATTGTAGAGTATTCTTTTCTTGTTTTGTTTGGATAAAGAATTAAAATAGCGTATACGGAAAAATTACATGTTAACTACAGCCTACATGTGTTATTTATCATTCCAAGGGAGTGTTAGGGGAATTACAGTTGAATTATATATTGCGTTGTTATTATTCTGTGATGTAGAATGTTCGGTAATATGGCAATGCTGTTTTGGACTAAAAGAAATGGTATTACTCCACTGATTTCCCTCCTTTTCTAATTGATCGCAGCCATATCTTCACGAGTCTCGGCACCGCCACGCATTGAAAAGGGTTAGGGGGTCTGGGGGACGCTTTCTTAGTGCCAAACAGCTGCAACAGTCTAACACAGAACTTGCCACTAATGCCCATTCAGGTCCGGACCCTGTCAACTTTTATCAGGAGAAAGATGCATCAGAGGTGGAAAGTCATCCCTCAAGAACTGGAGAAAATGCATCTATCACAGCCATCTCTGGCTTAACAAGTATGTCCAGTAACCGTGTCAATTTCAGGCAGCCTGAGCACAACTTCTTGGGTAGCTCCCCAAACATGGGTGGATCATCACAGTGGAATGGGGGACTAACCTTTGGGGGTGGAGCTCGGCAATGTGCTTCAGTTGGCCGGTGAGAGGTGGAACCAGTCAAAACAAGTTCACTGGTCTGGCAAATCATCCTTGGCTTAGTCACTTTGCTTTCTGTGTTTCATCATTCATGTACGCTACAGAAATGTTGTCTTTTGGAAGACTCTGCATTAGCCCTCAGACCTTTGCTAGTGCTTTGCTTTGCCATGTATTTTAAAGTTTCTATTGCTTCTGTTGTTGAACTGGACCAGAAAGTTTGTGCTTAATTTAACCACTTTCTATCCCACCGTGGAGGGTCCTTGCTTTGCCCAACCCAATCTTCAAAACCCCTATAAAACAAAATGGAGAGAAGAAAATGAAAATTTGAACAGTACTGACATCAATATGTTATTGGATGAAGTAAACACAAACTTTTAAAGTAAATTTTTACCATACCAACTCACACATACATATCATTTCCCTTGTCTTCGAGCGACAATAGAGCTTTGGAGTAATGTCTGAACTTGTCAGCATCCAGAATATTATGTTCCCCGAGGCACGAATCAACGTAAGTTCCTAATAACAGGCGATTCTCTTTTCTCGCGTCTTGTCTGTATCGCTCGGACATTCTCATGAATTCGTTGGTTCTTTCTGTTTTCTCTTCCTCCTTCACTTGGGCATCTTTGTAACTTGGTTTCTTTCTCATTTATTTTCGTTCTTCATGCTTCAATCAATGATAAGCTGATAGCAAATTATTGTTGTTCCACTGTTCTGCTAAAGATTAAATATCATTAACAAAATTTTGATATATTCTTTTACTGATGGATAATGATTTGTAATTGGTAAGCCATGTCTTAGAGCATCTACAATGGGATAAGCAACTCCCAACCACTTTAAATGGGTCCCACTGTGCCACGTCACTCATAAGCAACTCATACTATACTTTTACAATTTTTGCTCCAATGGAAATTGCTTATAAGCACTCATACTTTTTTACAACTCATACTACACTTTTTGACACCTCACACTACACTTTATGATAAATTTTTATAAAATTAATTATTATAGATAATATATAAATATAAATAATTAACAAAATAAATTACATAATTAAAAAATTACAATAATAAAAAAATACCAAAAATTACAATAATAAAAAAATATTATAAATTACAATAATATTATCATTTCTTATTATTTTGATATTTATTTTGCTATTTTTTTAACTTATTACCTATTTAAATATATCATTTCCATATCTATTTTTTTTAATATTTTCAAAATTTTACCAATAATTAAAAATAATTTTACATCACATTATAAATTATTTATCAAAATATAATTTATATATTAAAAGTTATTTTATTATATAATAAAATATATAATAAAAATATTTATTTACTATGATTTAATTTATATATTAAAAGTTATTTTATTATATAATAAAATATATAATAAAAATATTCATTTTCTGTTTATCACCTTCGTCTCTTTTTCTTCTCTCTCAAATTTTTCATTTTCACCCTTCACTCCCTCTATCTCAAAGTTCCACCTAGGATGAGGAGTCTGGTGAGGCTGAGCGGCGCGCACCAGATGGGGCTGGTCAGGGGGAGACTTGCACGCGGCTGACAGGGACTGGTGGGGCGGAGCCGCGCGCCCCAGAGGAGGCTGGTCGGGGGGAGTGCGTGCGCAAGAGGGGGCTGGTCGGGGGGAGTGCGTGCGCGCGGCTGAAGGGTCTGGTCGGGGGTTGCGCGCGCGGCTGGGGGGGTCAGGGTTCCGCGTGGTCGGGGGTCCGGTTGGTCAGGGGTTGCGCGTGCGGAGGAGGTTTCATACATGCATGCGGTCGGAGGGGGTCCACCAAGAGCAATAGCAGGTGCCACGTATGTTTAAGAACCGTTGCTTCTGCAAGCAACAAAGAAAAAAATTTAAGAACCCTTGCTGCCACGTATGCCTGCTCCAACGGGAAGTTCTTGTAAGCACCGTTGCTTACAAGTAAGACACGCACTAAGCACCTCCCGCTGGAGTTGCTCTTAGTATTACTACTTTTTATGGTAACGTCTTAGTGTACAGTTGTTGAGGCTTAAGTGCTTATTTGAATACAGGCAAACATGCGTTGGCGTTAGAAAAGTAGGTTCGCCTTAATTTTCAAAATTAAGTCAGCGGTGAGTATGATTCATTCTGAGAAATATTTATTTTATTTTATTTTCAGTTGGATAAAATTGATTTTAATTAAGTGATTTACCAAAATTTTAAAAATATACTTATATTTATACTCTAAAAATGTTTTCACTTTTCATTATAAAATTTCTTACCATATTTTCGATTTATTTCTTGTTTTTTAAGATTTGTTCATAAAGTAAAAAAAAAAAGATTTTACTGTTTCCATCGTAAATTTTTTCAAACAAAAAATAGATTAAAAATAAATGTCACCTTTGTAACTTAAAAGTAAAATAAAGAAAATAAAAAGCAAAATAAACTCACAATAGTTACATTTCAATGTTTCACTGAAAAAAAAAGCACTATGTATCTTCGTTAAAAGAGAGAAAACAATAAATTTATTATGACAATATTAAATTATTAAAAGTTATGTATAATATATAATTATTAAAAGAGACTACGTGTCTCCATTAGAAAATAACAAATTTATTATGATAATTTGTAAGTTTTTAAAAATTATGTATAATTATTAAGTAAAATGAAGTAAATAGAAAAGGAGATTTTTTTTTGAATCATCGGTAAGTATGGTAAAAATTCAAACGATGATGATGATAGCAAATATTGAAGAGTTAAAAAGAGAGAGACATTTTATTATAGTATGCAAGGAGGAAAAGGTCAAAAAGGGAGAGAGAATGAGGCATCCCATAACATACATAATACATACACACATGACATGTTCCTAAACGCTGGGAAAGGAAATCCTAATGGCATGGTATGTCCGTATGGTGATGGCATGATATAAATAAAAAAATCGATGGGCATGGCATGCGATGTTGAAACCGGCTTGCACCCATTCGATTCCCATTGGCTCGGTGTTTCCCGAGAAAGAAAAAGTGACCCCAATTTTGAAACTGAAATAAAATCCCAATCAATCCGGGCACTTGTTCACTCGCACTCAGTGGAATTCTCTTGTGTGATGCGAGTTGAAACCGCGAATTGAGGCATAACAGAGATCGGAGAATGGTTTCGTATGTTAACATCTTGCTGTACGGCGTGGGAGGGTTGGTGGTGGCGGGGATGGCATTGCTGGTGGCGTTTCAGGAGAAGCTCGTCTACGTTCCCGTCTTGCCTGGCCTCACCAAGTCCTACGCCATCAATCCCTCTCGCCTCAGACTCTCCTACGAAGACATCTGGCTCCATTCCTCCGACGGCGTCCGCCTCCACGCTTGGTTCATCAAACTCTTCCCTAACTGCCGAGGTCTCCGATTCCCTTCCTTTTCGATCTCCTTACGCTTTTCTCTCGCATGCCACAATTTTAGATCCAATACTAAAATAACGCTATTATTATGTCGCCCAATTACGATGCTGATCCAATTCTATGTGCTTCGTTTAGGTTTTGTTTATCTCCTGTCCTATGATATGAACGAACTTACACTTTGAGATATGCTGCACTTTGCAGGTCCGACTGTTTTGTTTTTTCAAGAAAATGCTGGAAGTATCCTGGTGGTGGTAGATATTAGGGATGATTGTCATTGTTGCTGTTATTGTTTTGCATATTTTTTGTTGATCAGGTTCAGTGTGATTTTGAAGGCCTTGACTGCTCACTTTTAGATATTGCGCATCGACTCGAAATGGTTCGCATAATGTTGCAGCAGTTACGATGCAATGTTTTCATGCTTTCTTACCGAGGGTATGTAATGTATCAACCTAGGCTCGTTGATCATGGCACTTTCTTATAGCTCTGTGTCAGCAAGTTAATGACTTTAAAATGCGCTTGTCACCTTCTCGCTGAATTGGCACTAATATTTCATTCAATTACACAGTTATGGAGCAAGTGATGGCTATCCTTCTCAGCATGGAATTATTAAGGATGCTCAGGTATGCTTTTTATTAATAGTAATTCGAATTCCCTGATTTTGGTTGTCAAACTATTTACTAATATCTTCCCCCCAATTTTATTACTCCTTTTTCCCAGGCTGCATTGGATCATCTTTCTCAAAGGACTGATATTGACGCATCTAGAATAGTTGTATTTGGACGATCACTTGGTGGTGCAGTTGGAGCTGTACTAACAAAAAATAACCCTGACAAGGTACCCCTTGGACCTTGGGAAACTATATAATGTTTAATGTTCATGTTGTTCTTCGTAAAAATCTAATGATCTTGGATTTCAGTTGTCGCCATGGACAATTGCTTGCTAGATTTCAGTTGCCTGAAGATAAATGTTTCCTTGGAATGTTAGTACTATATGTAATTATAGTTTGCTAGGTTCACAAGGCATACAGCAAGACCATATATATAGCTGCAAATTAGTTTGCTAAAGTTTCTTTTCCTGTTGATAGATTCATAACTCATTTCATGATTTTCAACATTATGTGAGAAAGGAATATTCAATTAATGTGGATGCATTTGTGGGGAAACTATATCAACTGAGGAAAAACAACGTAGTTTTTAACTAATTAAAATTATTTTTGATAATTAGGATCAGGATTAGTTTATTTTCTGAATTTTGTTTATGTTTTTTTGTCTCGATAAGATTCTAAGTTACAGAATCCTTATCTGTTCTGTTTTTTTTTTAATTTTTTTTTAGTTATGATCCAATCAATTAGGATCCCTTTCTTATATGTAGCCTTATAAAAGGACAGACTTGTATCGGGGGAATGAACGAAGAAACTATTAGTCTAGGAGGGGCTCTGTCCAGAGTCTGTTACTAACTTTTACTGTAGGTCGCAAGTAGGAGTCTTCTATATCTAGGCTAGTGACTTGGTCTTACGTGGAAGTCTACAAGTTAACATGATTTTAGGTTCCAATTGCAAAGTATTCGACATGAGTTTCACTTTGAAGTATGAGAATATAGTGTGCAGTTTTTAAGGCCTTGGGTTCTCAAAATACAACAGCTAGCTTCTGTGACATGGTTTTCCCATTTGGTATCAATCAGACTGGTCATCTGTGCGTTATAACACTGTTATAGTGGCGTCACATAGTGATGTGGCCATGGGCTGCTCTGTGGAAGCCCATCATGTCACAGGCCATTGTTGTGCCTGAGTGTGAATCAAAGCTGCTGTTGCATCTGAGACAAAAACCCTTCTCTTTTGGCCACTAACAATGTTGTTTGGTGCTCTTTAATGGGTGGGAGGAGATCTCTCCCCCCCCCCCCCCCCCCGCCATCTTTTTATTCATCAGAAAAAACTGTTTTTTGTACTCTCACTGCTAAATAATACTGGGCCTGGTCTCTTCTCTCTGACATAAATCAAACTTTTTCTTAAATAACTTAATCTTTTTTGTTTTGCGTATGAAGAATTTCACTTTTATTGCTTTAGTGACTATTTACTAATTAAATTAATTAGAGAGATCTCGAGCAGAGGCTTTTCCCTGCTACATGTCAATACCTTTCTTCTTCAGACATTTATTTTATGTAGAAATAATTTTGCAACTAATTTTAAAGCTACTGGTTTAAAGAAAGACTGGTGCAATCTTCTATTCAGAAATTTAGCCCAGCTTCTCCATTTTGTTATTCTCAACAACAATTTTTTGGTGCACCTTTAATCTACATTCTCCTCTGATTTTCATTTTGTGTTTTAGGTTGCTGCACTGATACTAGAAAATACTTTCACATCTATAATGGATATGGCTGGAGTTATGTTTCCTTTTTTGAAGTGGTTTATTGGAGGCAGCTGTTCAAATGGTCCTAAAGTACTCAATTTTCTTGTTCGTTCTCCATGGAGTACAATTGATGTTGTTGGCCAGGTGAGGGATGCTGGAAATTTAAATTGTGTATGGCTGGATTCACGTGTTTGTGCATAACCTTTTTATTAAGATATTAAACATTAATTGCAGGTCAAACAGCCTATCCTTTTTCTTTCTGGATTGCAAGATGAGATGGTCCCTCCATCACATATGCAAATGCTTTATGCCAAGGCAGCTGCTCGTAATAATCAGTGTCTGTTTGTGGAGTTTCCTACTGGCATGCATATGGATACTTGGGTGGCTGGTGGTGATCACTACTGGAGAACAATTCAGCAGTTTCTTGAACAGCATGCCCCAGAGCAAAAGGAAGACAGTTCATCCCAAAATGGAAATGGTAATGATAAAATTTTTTTTCTCTCTTTATGCTGTGTTTTAAAACTAGGGGATTATGGGTTAAGAATGTGGGATAGCTTATGCTTAATTAATTGCATGAATAATATACAATTTTTTATTTTCAGATGTGGAATTTTTATGTTCTTGTTCTTTTTTGGTCTTTTCCTTTTGATTTACGATATGTCCTTCTTGTGTCATTCTCAAACTTCGTCTATCTATCGTGATCAATTTTTGCGCCCCGCCCACTTCCCCCCTTTGTTGCTGTTTCTCACTTGTTGTTTTAATACTGCTTCCAGATACTGGGGCGAGGTGATTGGCTGACATTAAATTATTTCAATGATACTAATTGGCTAACTAAGGATTCAAACAGTTTCTGCCCTTTGAAGTTGCAGCCCGTAAGAGCTCCCTGTGAGAAGATGCTTCCTACTGGGACATGCTGCACCACGTCAAGGTATATCATTGAACAATTTTGGTTGGGTTGTGGTTTCCAGAATTTGGAAGATGCGCAGACAATTTGTGCTACCCTTTTCTATACTGTATGGCATCTACATTTTGGGTGCCTGACCGAATTTGACAAATGACAAGTAGAATAATAATTATTTACCTAAGCTATATATACATGTAGTGTATGTACTATATACTGTACTTTATCAGTTTATCTATGTTCTTTTTAGTGAATGAGTTCATTGTCATTCATACTAGTGCGTACTTATATATATCGGTTGATTCCTATTTTCTTTAATGTTAGTATCTTTTATTGATTCTTATAGCAAGCTCGAATGTCCAATTTAACGCGTGATCTTTTTTCACGAGGACTTCAGCTACATGGTACTAAACATGTTTGAGTTAGGATCTCGATTCAAGAATGAGTACTCGTGCAATAGTTTCTATGCAAGTTTAAAGTATGCTGACAAAATATTCACCATAGAACTTAATAAATTAATTAGTTTGATGATTACTGGATATATGCACCGTGCTGTTGATGCATGATAATCTAGGAAGTGTGAGGAGAAACAAGTGTTCCAGTTCCACACTCTTTGAAGGTTACGTCTCCTTTACACTCGAGCATGTTATCCGTATTTTTTAGGCTAAAAACCTATTTTGGTCTCTTATAATAATTATTTGTTTTAATTTAGTCCTACTTTTATTTTTGGTCTTAAATTGGTCCCTAATAAATTAATTGGTTGCAATGTGGGACTTTCGTCTAAATTATTTAAACGGAGTTAACTGTTGGTCACGTGGATGTCATGTAGATGCATAGGTGGATGTCACGTGGATGCCAAATTTCTTGAAAACACCTGGAACCAGAACGGTCCATTCTGAAACCAGAACGGTCCATTCTGAAGAAATATTTAAGTGTCACTTAATAATTTTTTGCAACTTATTTAAAATTAGAGGAATAAAATGATAAAAATTAATAGGATAAACATAATGAAATTATTAATTTGTTTTCTTTCGGTGTCCTCTAAATTTTTACACTCATTTAAAGTAAAAATATTTTATTTGTTATTTTGAATTAATTTAACGAAGTATCATATGATTTTTAATTTTTTTAAAAATTTATAAATTTGATCTATACATGAAAAACTTTTTAATTTAACAATTAAATTTTTAAAAATTTGATATAGAACATTAATTATTAAGTAAAATAAATCTATCAAGACTTAATTTTGAAGTAAGTAAATTTTTTCTTCATTAAAAATGAAGATAATTTTACCACAAAATAAAAAATAATAAAATAATAAAATAAAATATAAAAAATATATATTAATGTATTTATTATATTAGATATAACAAGATAATTAAAATATAATTAATAATATATATTTTATAAAATTATTAATATTTTATATATAAAAAAAAGAATGAAAAATTTTTTAGTGGGGGCAAGTGCCCCACTTGCCCCCACTATGATTAACTTAGATCCGTCCTTGCATGTGCTCCAGTTTGACTAACAATGAAATAAAATTTGCTACCATTGTCTTTAATGATACACTACATTGTCCTTAATGATACACTGTATAGCCCAATTGTTTAGCAATTGAAGTTATCAATTTTCATTGACAATATTACCAAATCCAGTGTTTGAAATGCTTTGTACCTTGGGTCTTTTTCCTTCCACGATTCACAACTTTAATGATACACTATATAGCCCAACTGTTTAGTAATTGAAGTTATCAATTTCTATTGACAATATTACCAAATTCAGTATTTGAAATGCTTTGTACTTTGGGTCTTTTTCCTTCCACGATTCACAACCGTGAACTATAATCATTGATCGTTTGTGTCTACCAGTCTGGAACCAGAACGACTCGTTCTGGTTGCACTTTTAGTGTGTTAATTTTGCACCTGGAACAGGTCATTCCGGATGCAAAATTAACACACCAAGAGTGCACCCAGAACGGGCCGTTCTGGTTCCAGGTGTTTTCAAAAAAATTTGGCATCCCCGTGGCCCCCACCTATACATCTACGTGGCATCCACGTGCATGACACGTGACCAACAGTTAACTCCGTTTAAATAATTTGGACGGAAATCCTATATTGCAACCAATTAATTTATTAGGGATCAAATTGAGACAAAAAATAAAAATGAGACTAAATTGAAACAAACAATTATTATAAGGAACTAAAATACTATTTTAGCCTATTTTTTAAGTCATGACATACGTGATATACCCATTGTTTATTTTAGGGGAAATAAGGCAGAAAGAAGTAGAAAGGAGATAAAATAAAAATATTATTTTTTTTATTATTTGTTTGAGAGAAAAGTTGAAGATTGAATAACTTTTTGGATCTTTAAAAACTTTTTCAATTGAAATGATTGGAAAATGAAATATTTTTTTTTCTTTTATCTTTCTAGTCTTTTAATATATATATATATATATATATATATTATTTTGGATGTATAGACTTTTTAAATAATTTTTTTAATAAAAATGAAACAATAATTTTATGTTAAGAAAAATTAATGAAATGAAAAGTTTAAAGTTTTTGAATTAAGTTTTATATTTGTAATTACTATAAGAATACTTCTTTATATAACATTTATTTATTTTCTTACTTTTTAATTCATCAAATAAGTGAAATAAAGTTCTTCATTTATTTGTTTATTATCCTTATATTTTTCCTCGGATTTATCTTTAATTAAAAAACAATGAAGTGAGTATTAAAAAAGAGTAATGTTATTTTAATAAATTTTCCACACGAGATAAATTAGAATAAAATAGTGACAAAATGAGAAAAGATAATGTATATATATATATATATATATATATATATATATTTTATTAAAGAAAAAATAAAAAT